TTCGAACAAACTGAAGTGGTTTTTTCAAATTTTATATTAACTACGAACGCTGTTGATAAAATACTACTGGAATTTTAGCTTTCGTTGCAGAGGAATTCGCAGAAATAGTCAAATTTTGCTCAGGCCATGAGCTGAGGTGGTAAACCAATACTGTCCTCGAAATTATGGCGACCTCAGCAGATAGTTTGCATAGGTATCACTTATCAGTATATATATATATATATATATATATATATATATATATATGTATTATTATTTAAGGTCGCATCAACTACTAGGTCATTAGCGACCACTATTGCTTGTAACCGTATGGTAACTGTGGGTTGACACGATAATGATGATGATAGGGGGTGAAAGGACGAAACACAATACAGCCATGCCCGAGGCGAGACTCGAACCCGCGATCCTTCGGTCCTAGTTCGCTACGGCACTACTGCCTTAGCGATCTCGGCCACCGGATCGGCTCCTGCATATAGTGTCACATGCGATGACGTGAGTAATGATGTATTGGATGTTCACCGAAAATACAATCTGTGGGGAAGATAGAGGTGGTATCAGTGTTTCAGATCCAAACCTGGGGCTCATGCAGAAATTTTGGTCTAGGAATATCATCAAGCCAAACACAGACCCTGAAGATGCGATTTTTGTCTGTAAATTTTATAATTTAGTATGCGATTTACTTTCTCAAACTTTTAAAATGAATTAGGTATTATACCTTGATTAATATGTATTTTCCTTCCCGAATGTCGTACAACAATTCCTTAAATCTACAGGTTTAAAATTTAAAGGTTAAACAATTCCCCAAATCGACAGGAAAAAATTAAAGATTGAACATATTTGCGAAAACGAAGTGTTTTATTAAGTAAGGCGACGGAACACCTTTCAAACTTTTCAGGGCGACCAATCCCCCCCCCTCCTTGTGCGCACACCTATAACAATGAATATTACAAAGGGTACCACTTATCGTGAAACACACCTCCTGCAGGCTACCAGCGTCAGAAGTGCAAATGGCAAAAGCGATTGGGAAGATTTAGCGATTCACTCGTAGTGGCGCTGATAACGGCACTGCTTGGACTGCATTACCCGGCGGCCGTCAAAACTCTCACTCAGGGAACTCAACTCTCGCTCTAAGCTATATAGAACACTTTGGGTCCCAACTTCAGTTTCTCCAGCAACTGATATAAAAGCTATCATCTTTAATAAAGGCTTATAATATTGTTGCTTGCGTGAATTGGATATTCGAATTAATTTGCGATTAACTTAGTATTAGCTAAAGCACACGCAGAAACGTGTTGTCGTTATATACACAAATGAGCGGAGAAAATATTACCATGCACTATAAAATTCTAAAATATGTATGCAAATATGCACGATGAAATTATTAAACATGCCCGATGCAGGATAAAAGTTGACGGAAACCTGCACAGGGAAACTTTAGTACAGTATATTTTTTATGTTTTATCCCTTTTGTAACAGTGATCAATTAAGGTCGTTTAAAATTTTACTCAGTCAAAATCATTCTTTTTTCAGAAACAAACGTTTTTGAATGCAGAAAATGATTTCTCGTCACAAGAAATTACTAGGAACATCAAAGATGAAACGTATTCAAATGTGAGGTCAAATTCATTTTCTGATTTTTCTCCACAAATATATATTTTACATTTTAGAGAAATTTTGAGTGTACTCGCTTTGCTCCTCCAGGAGAGCACCCGGCTACGATAACAAACAATACCAGAGTGGAAAACATACCTCCCCGTGCAATAGCAAATTAAACTAATATTTACAATTCCAGCCTCAGAATAGGATACTTTCCTCTGTCTTGAAAGCATGCCATAGTTATTCTCAATGCCAGAGCTAATAAAAATTCATGCGGATACTAATAGCTACCGACCCATACGATTACTTAACATACAAAACACTTACTGGAACATTACATATCACATACATTACATAACACTTACAGGTGTAATGTAACTAAAGCCATTCCAAAAGAACAATTTGGATTCACTGAAAAAATTTCCACACTACAATAACTCCTCCACATTACCGAACATCTTTATACCTCATTTAAAAGTTACCGCACCGTAGCAATTTTCATCGACATAACACTATAGTTTTATCGGACGTGGCATCAAGGTGTCTTGTATAAAATCAAGAAAATAGGCACACGGCATTTTATCCAATGAATCATACAAAGTTTCATCAGTAATAGAACCTCCTTAGTAAATTCAAACAATAACCATTTCAACCCAAGACCAATCTTAGCAAGATTACTACAAAGATCGCCCCTTTACCTACTTAATTTAATTAACATGTTGCACACATTCCCAAACTAAACGACATCCACTTTGTACAGATCGCTGCATTCTATAACTCCAGTCCTTCACTTACTGATTGCAGCAACAAAGTTGAATTATATCTTAACCTAATTAATAGCTGGGCTTGAAAGTAAGAAAATTCAACTTAGTCCAACCACAACGGCCGCCAAGATCATCACACACCAACCACCCTCATCCCCGCGACCGCTAATACTAAGCAATGCAATAATCAACAGGCTCCCTCCCAGTAAACCAGATACCTAGGACTAAACATTGATTTAAAACGATTGGAAGCAGTATATAGATGCCAAAATTACTCAAGACAGAATGAACCTAGTACAATTAAAGTCATTAACTGCATATAGTACAAAATAAATTTCTCATTATTATTTCAAACGCCTCCACGTATGTTACCTATAAACAGTTACACAAAGAATTCGATTTAAAGACTATAGACCATCATATCACCTATCTAGCTACCAACTTCTTCTCAAACATATTGTCCTAAGTCCCTCCACTATCAGTTCAGAGACTGCAAAACCCATCGCTTAGAACCAGAATACAAAATAAATCCCATTCTCTGAAGTAGGTCCCGGCTGTAGGAGCCCCATAGCTAACCTCAACCATTGTATTAGTTTTAAATTTTAATTTAGGTTAGCAATCAAATCATCTAACATATGTATAGAAAACAAACTGAGCTATGTGTTTACCATCTGTGTAAAAAAGGGAAAAACTTGCTTCGCAATTCTAGCACGTATACCCGAGGGTTAAAAGTGCTATTGCAGTAAGCAGAGACAACTGTGTACTGCCAGGATCTAATGTCATTTAAAAAACGTATGCCTCAATTTTAATATTCACTAATTATTCAATATATAAAAAAAAATACTTAATGTGCTAGTGGTCTAAATATTGAGTATTAATTTTAGTACTGAAGTTCAAACCTGCATTATGCATGAATTTATCCAAATACCTTACAAAATATGAAAATCTGCACGGAAAAAGTATACATTTTTTCCGTCACTTCTCGTCGCAGACAGTTGTCAAGAGGACCGCCGGGTAGCATCTTCGCGAATGTGCCTCCTGCAGCACTACACGGCGGCCAGAAATTGGAAAGGAATTGGGATTGGGTTGGTAACAAAAAAATCCTCCAAAAAAGCCATGGCGTAGGTAATATCCATGTTTTGTGGGTCCTTGATACTGAAAAATCAAATGATGGCAAAACTTCTGTCCGTCCGTCCGTCCGTCCGTCCGTCCGTCCGTCCGTCCGTCCGTCCGTCAGTCTGTCAGTCTGTCAATCTGTCTGTCAGTCTGTGAACAACGCTAGCGCCTAAACCGTTCAGCCGATTCTCTTCAAAATTGATAATCCCCAATTGATCAGACTTGTCGCGACCCCTTGAATTTGAAACTGATTTTTAATTTTGGAGGGTACTTTACATGAACCCCTGGGACATTCTTGAAATTAAAAAAAAATGCTGCATTGTATTTGATTAAATTTTGTTGTTGGATAGTGTGAAAAACGTTTAATAGAATGATAAGGGTTTCATTTTCGTTGAAAATATTTTTTTTTCAAAATTGCAAAAATTCAATTTTTTCGGCGTCTTCCTACAACTACAATTTAGAAGGTTTAAATATTTAATGAAATCTGTTCCTTAAAGACGATCATACACATTTTTTCTAAAATTTGATTACTTTTCGCGAAATTTTGTGTGTAATTTTGGGCAAAATAGTACATGCAGTTTAAACACCACTAGTTATATGTTTTCCATGAAAATGATATTTTTACAAAGTTTGAAAGTCCTACAAAGCTTAAATAAAATTTGCATGTAAATGCTCTCTCTATTAATGAGTTAATAATATATGGAATAAATTCACTGTTTCGTAAGATATGAGCATTTATGCGTAAACTTCTTTGTAAATTTGTTGATAATTGCTCGCATCACGGGCGTTGCAAAAGAGCAGTAGAGAGGAGTCCAGTTAGACTACGCGCGTCAGCAGACCGATCTTACGTTTCTTGTGACAACATTGAGGAAAATATTGCCTGAGTAAGTGACATGTTCTTCAGAATGTCGCTGTGATCTTCACTAGAAGGCTTGAATGGTTCCTTGGAAGAGGATGGAGCGCAGTTATAACACCTCTTATAATGTGGGTAGGCAAAACATTGTTCTCCAATATTATTTAAAAATTTCAAATCGCTTTAACGTCAAAATATTTAGCGTTACATGAATTTTTCATGTTTAAGTGCATAAGTGACAATTTACAAAGACTGGTTTTTAATTTTATTGAAATTTTGTTAGCATTTTATCATTCATGAAAAATTGAAAACTTTTTTCTAGGTAAGTCATTGCCTAGACAGAGCAGTGCTTTTAAACAAAATGCTGTAATGTCATAGCTATCAGGAATCCTTCTATTCTATGTATTTAAATAATTAGGCATGTAGTCTGATTACATAACTTTCAATGATTCAGTCTTAATGAAAACATTGCTTCATTCAAATCTTTGTTGGTAGACAGCAGTGGCTCTAGAAAATCATCGCTCACGCCTAGGAAAAGTGTGGTATTGACATTTCGCTGCGACGAACGGCTTCGTTGTCGGACGCTGCGACGTTGCAACGTCCGAACCCTTGCGATGACAGGATTGTGCAATGAATGGTATGCTCTGTATAACGTAATGTTCGTTACATACCCTTTTACTTTGCGAACGTATTCTTCGATTCTCCTTGTTGTATTCACAGGATGGAAGTTAGGTGCCTTAGGAACGCCGTATACACCAATATCAACATATATTTCATCTCCATTATTTGATGAATGTACGAGGCCTGGATCATTGTTCAGTTTGAACGGACACAGCCATAAAGGATACACCTAAAAATGTATTAAAAATTATACTTAATTACACAATTTGAATCAATTTCTACAGGTTTAGAATAGATACATTTGAATAATCCTGTCTGTAATGTTAGCATCTACTTCCACTCTCACATTGCCTCGTTTGCGTTTTAAGACAGGTATTAGAGCTCCTAATTTTTTCGATGAAGATGACAAGTCCCTTATCGCATTTTATTTTTAAATCAATATTACTAGGGTTGGATTTTAATGTCGTGAAAATGAATTTAGATATTTCTACATACAATTTGATCGGGCCTCTTCTTGAAATTATGTTAGGTAAAATAGTACTGAGATTCCCAATTTTAAGTCTTAAATAATAATTTTGTGACACCAACATTTTCCTTCACTTTTTTCTCTTTTCGAAAATTGTATCAAGTTATTCTTCTTTAGGCCGTGTATTCTTTTATTTATGCATTTCAAATACTTTCGACATGGATGGTACTGACATTAGTGTTTCAATTCCCATATAAAATTTATAAGTTTAAGTAAAACATTATATTAAAACAAATAACATGTTTTAACATACTAAAACATTGGTATCAATAGTATTGGTACGCACATACTACGGCACCTGTTTCGTTTTAATAATACAGAATGATGTTTGTTAATTACTGTCTCTTCTCTAGATTTTAAATATGTGTACATAATAAAAATACATACTGTATTAATTTCGTCTAAAATGTTAGGCACTTGTATTTGCTGACATTTTATTGATCGTTTTGGAAAGGTTATTTAACTGTCGTTTTTTAACAACTTGGTCATACAGCGATCACTGTGATTGTTTTAAATGAAGAGGTAACTATACGCAGAACATGTAACGTCAAAACGAACACACACAAACGTCCAGTACAAGGTGAGATTCGAACTCATGACCCTTCGAGACGAGGCACTTTCGGCTATTCAGCCGTAGCGACCTCTGTTTTCCCGGCCGACTACGAGATATTATTAGGTCATCAGACTCGCAACACTGCTCCTTACGTACCTGAACAGCATCATGAAACATCTGAATAGATTCGGCCATCGATGATATTGGCACAAGCATATCTTGAATTATATGATTATTTTCATACAATTTTTTGATGGCTTTTGTTTGTGTCAGTTTGAGTAAAGAGACTTTAGGAGGCATCATCCATCCAAGGAGGAAGCGAAAAATGGGGTTATTGCCGAAAGGTATGATATCCTGTAACATATTTCATTGACGATGATTTATTGAAGTAAACATACGAACTTCATAATGGACAACGAGAGAAAAATACTTCAAACATCTTCATAACACTTTCTAAAACACATTCCAGATGTGTTGCAAGCACTATGCTCCTTATTGAGTAACTTCCCAGACATTAACTTTTCACTAGCCCTTCCTAACCCATTGCATTTCACGTTTTATGTTTTATAATATTTCCACATAAAGCAGCCGATTTACTCCATCACATTTAATATTTGTTCTTCATTGTGTCCTTACAAGATTTCATCTGTATATTTTCCTAAATTCATTGTCAGGAAGGGCCAAATGAAAATCAACAATATTAATGTTGTCACTTATTGCCATTCTCGATATTTACATAAGGTCTTTTATTTTTTACGGTGGTAATCCCAAGCATTCACATTTCAGCCTAAAGATGACTTCAGTGGTACAAAGGTGAGCACACCAGTTTCCTAAACCCATGTTCGCGTGTTCAAACCCGGATCGCGATTGAAAATTCCCATTGTGAAATGCCAAACTCGTGGCATGTGAAAGAACCGTGGCAAAAAAACAACAGGAGAATGAAATCCTTCGATTGATCTCCTAATCAAATACCATATTCCCTCTAGTAGGGAAAGACCCAAGTAATGGATATTTACGACGTAGGCTATTGTTGTGTCGGTCCGTGACGGCGAACAGGGTAGTCAGATAAATTTTGGTATCGTTAGGCGTTCGTGTGTTGCAAAATTTGAAAATACCTCACGTTCAGCATAGGCAATTGATGAATTTCTAGAACCGAGGATTAGATGACAACAAGAACAAACTATTAGCCTGATGGTTTATCACATATTTATTACATCACATCATGAATTGTTTGACAAGGAATCTTGAGACACAATAGGCTAAAACAACACCGTCATTCATTACTGACACACTCTGACTTATTCTTTAGTGGTACAATACGTCCACATGGGCTAACGCGTTTAATTGATGCACATTCCAATGATATTTTCAATACAACTCGTTTTATAAGTATTTTTCTATACCAGCTGAATAAATTAAGGCGTCTCAGACTCCAATTACACGTAGCTTTAACTTGCAACATACCGTATTTAGACGAATCTAATGCGCAACTTTTTTGACCAAATATAATACTCAAAATTGTGGGCAATAGATTCGATGGCGTTTTAGATTTGAGTGCAAATTCGTTCCGTGGGGAATAATGATTATTCACAACGACTTAGGGAAAGGAAATGAAGCTTAGAAACGGGATACGTTTCGATGTAAAACAATGTGTCATGTGCATGAATATCTCAAACAGCTTTTAATTTCTGTGGGATATTTGAGGGTATTTCTATCGAGTGAACTTGCCATAAATAGACATACACCTTAAAGGGTGTATCTGGAACTAATATTGAACGTGAACCTTGATTAGGGTAAGAATAACGTGAGACGAATCGCGACTATTACAACATTCAAACGGCCATGAACGTTTTGAAAATTCCATCCATTCTGTGGAGAGGGACATCATGGGCATCAGTTAGCGCTGTCTAATCGGGTGGCCCAGCCCGGAAAAGACATAAACAAAACTATTGTGCTACTATTGTGTATTTAATATTATTGCTCATAGTCCAACAGACGAAATATATTTTAGAATTTTACTATGTATTCTTATTTCCTTTAAAAGTAAAAGTTTATTCTTTTTCCAAGATGTATTAAGTTTTTTCAAAAGCACCTTCGTTGCACTTTTCATTCATTTGAACATATTTATCAATATCATTCTCCCTCTTTCAGTGTATATAGTCTCATGTATTTCTCGCCCAATTATCCTTTCATTTTGTGAAATTGTAGCTGAATATCTCGAAGCTATGAACTTATTTTCAATGATCGATCTCACCTGTCAACGAAGACATCGTATAAACATAATTTCGACAGTTCGCTGTATTTGAACTGTCTGTGGATTGTAAGGTATGGTCTGTTTGTTCTTTCAAAAAATCACTTTTCCAATCCACAGCCTTAGTCTTAAGAATATCCTCATACGTTCTACATCGATCAAACAACACTAAAACGATCAAAGAATAATGTATACATCGCACATATCGCAGTATTAAAGTATGTTTTTCGAGAATTCTTGGTTTTATCCGAGATCTGTGACAGGAGTCTCGAGATTCTCGGGCGAGAAAAAATATTTCTTGCCCATAAACAAAATCAAATTTTCGAAGCTGCTTTAGATAAATTCCCTTTACTCTTTTGGTTTTGGTGTTTAATATTAATGAAGAATATCACAATATTACTACTTTTCTTAACTATCATAACTGCATTATATTTTTATATAAATCAGAATATTATTTGTTTAGTCAGCTGAATTTTTCGCGACAGTTCCGAGGGACACGACGAGCTACTTAGTGACGTTTCTTTTCTGCGAGGTCGTGGTTTGGAGGCGAGCCAAATGTGTCATGGGCATCTTCCTTCCAAGATGCATATTTGTGACGGCACTGCGATGTATGTGTTAAGTTCCAGAGCCATTTCCGAATCACAAGTACCATATAAGTATCTCACCATATACTAAGTATATATTCAGAAAAATACATATTGTTATAGAGTCATCTATAATTCTTTGGTTTGGGAGGCTATGGTATGGACTATGGTTTGGGAGGCTAGGTATCTCGGGTGAATTCATAGCAATTTTTTCGTCCATCAAAAATTTTTCAGTTTCATCGAGATATTTATTTTCGGATGAAAGAAAACTGAACTATTGCGTGCCTCATAGCATCATATGTGTTCATTAATTTATAACAATTCATGAAAACAGCTATTAGATTTCATATGTTTGGAATAAATGTTTTATAAAACATTTTAATCGTTGTAATGAAAAGAAGAGAGAATGATATAAATTTTCAGATGTAACGATCGAAGTAATATTTGTTTTAAAAAATATTACAAATTCTTGATTTTGTCATCGACGTTGAAGTTAAACCATGAAAATGACGTGCAGTTGTCATGCCTTTCGTACGCCCTCCGTATATCAGCCTATTGTCGCTAAAATGGATATATGCCACATTAGCAGTTCATTATTTTCTTTTACATATTAATCCAACTTCGCAAGTGTATTTTAGTATACTGTTTTTGCAGTAATATTTTTTGTAATTAACTTAGAAAGCAAAGAAGAAGATCATGTACTAGGACTGTATACAAAAAGCATTACTTTGGAGTAAATTATTAGAAAATAGTATTTTGTGAAATAATATTGCACCATTAAATGTTGAACCACCAAAATACCTCTAGGAATTTTGAAACCTGTTTTTAATAATGAACAATAAAGAACGCATGGGATGTTTCTAAGAAAACGGAATGTTTTATGGAACATTTTTATTTCCAGCTTCCATTACGGCGTTGTGACGGAAGCATCTGTCGCCCCTCTCGTGAAAACTCTTAAAGGGTGTCACATTTTTATTTTAAATAATATTAAAGGCAATGTTCCTCATACAGTAGTCGACGGATATCAAGCGTGAACCACTCAACGATTTAGTCCCTGAGATGTCGGGCATGAATGTTTCAAATTCCGACAGGCGTATGAACGATTTGGCTTTCGTGCGAAATTTGCGAATGGCATGGCATTTTCGCGATCTCGCAGCGGAGGAGCCCTCATTTATATCTCAGTGTCTATTTTCCGGACTTTCTTTCCAATGTCAGTTACAATTTGTCAGTTCGATGATATCATTATTTTGAATCCGGCGTCGTTGACCGAATCACTTAACTACGCTCCATTGAGTCACGGAAGTTATGCAACAACGTGGTAATTCGGATTTCTGCACTTGTGACCGTCTGTGAAGCCCGGTTACTTATGTCGCCGAGCCCCTGGCCGAAAGAATAAAAGGCACAGACTGACTGACTGACTGACTGACTGACTGCGACGTGTCGAGACAAAGAGACAAGAACTAAACAAAGAATTATTCCTGATGCACTCAATGCCCAAGAAGGGCCAAGAGACGTGTTGCGAAGACGCAGCAAATAAAAATAAGTATCTAAAAATATATTTAAAAATTCATTTACGCAGTGTTAAGCTCTCCCGGTTCGCGACTTCGAAAGGCCTAAAACAGGTACAGATGCTCACGTGAAAAAATTCAGTGCATTCGCAAACTGAATTTCAGTAATGGATGGCTGAGGACGGAAAACGAATTTCAGGAGTGGATGGCTGAGGATGCGAATAAATCTACATCTGCTGGACAAACAAGGCGACATAGATAAAATCTTTATTTCTGCACACTGAAAAGTGGCAGCAGGAATGTATAGAGAAAATAATTACGACTATGCTGTTGAAATTTTCTTTTCGTATTGAAAGCATGAAATGAATAAATGCAGAATGAATTTTATTATAAATGGATGATAATTATATAATGAAAAATATCCAAAAATTAGTAGAAAATTTGGGGAACACTGTATAGCATATTTACAATACCATATACGTACGCACCTGAATCTCCCAGAAAATAGACCGTGTGTGCCTGTGATAATAGTCTCTTAGAGGAATATATTCCGTACTTTTGCCTTTTTTGAGAAAGGATCTGACATGTTCGAAAAACCATGGCTTATACCACATACCTATTTCGTTTACCTATAACAGAAGATTTTAAATAAAAATCTGTAACATATAGTTCGGTTACAATAGTAGGAATGAATCGGATACCTTGTTAGCTTCATGAAGTTCTGTCATATTTCCTGTCATTATAACTCCTTCTTCTTTATTGAACATAAGCCCTTCTACAAATTGATTCTGTGTAGTTTTAAGCGTTTCTTCTTTGAATACTGACACGGCTTCATCCAAGGATCGTACAGGCTTATATTCCAGTTTCACATATCTGAAATATGAAGGCAATTAGTAGATGACTAATCAATACTTGGCAAACTTTTCGGTAATATTTTCAATCTTCATATTAGTATGATTTTAGATAAAGAACATATTAATAAAATTCATTCAAAATAAATTTTATAATTTCGCTTGATGACTTTCCTATGGTACTTACTAATTTTCTAATGCATGTTTAGCCTTCGAGTAACGTTCTCAACTCTTAACTACACTATTAAAATTTAGGAAAATGATAGCTATAATTTTCTATTCTTTTTATTGTATTTCTGAAATACATACCAACTTTAAAGAATCGATAATATTGATAACAGATTTTAAAAGATTTAACAAAATTTTGCCACTTACGAAGAATAAATATGTTTCATAATCTTTCATTGGAAAGTAACGAAAATGTGTTGCACGTAGAACAAGATTGGCATTACTCTCATTAAAGATTACGAATATCAAAGAACTGTTTCATGCTGCTGTAATAATGACATGAGATTACTTTTCGCATAGAAGATAACGTACCACTGAGAACAGCATGGGATTTTCGCTTCCCCGCAGCTCAGGACCTTCCATTTACGTGTCAAAGTCTATATTACATACTTCCTTTCCTAATGTCAGAAATAATTAGTAAGATGTTATCAAACTTACATTGCAGTTACTTAAATGTGCACAGGAGTTTATCAGTATTTCTGAAAATAATTTGCAGTAGTGCATTTTAAGGTTTCGATGACTTCAATGGAAATATCTTGCTAAAACCAGTCCTTATAACCTCTTACAGATACACAATTTTAAATGGCTTACTGTATTGCGGTAAATAAAAAGTGACTTTTTTACAAAAGGTGAAAGAAAATTTAATTAACGCTTTAACATTCACATGATGTATTGAAAAATATAATTTCTCGGTAGATTTATTATTAACAGCAGTCTTCACATCGCCAAGAACACCGTATTTCTCGTTTTGTTGATGTTAGTAGTCAGTCTGAAGGAACTTCCATTCTATGGAAAGTTCAAACCAACACATTTATAACTTTGGTATTTAATTCCATTTTGGATATTTTCGAAAAAACATGTTCCTAAAATTCCTATTCCTCTGATAAAGAGCAATATATACACTAATTTTTGTTTGCATAATTCTACTAATAATAAATCAACTAATTCTAATAATGCTAGATCAATCTTCTTTAAATTTTATTTTTATATATATATATATATATATATATATATATATATATATATATATATATACACATAGGGCTTGGAACTTTATGTAATTTCTTTAATACATTCAGTATAGCAATTGCAACGGTGGCATTTGTTATTGATGATATTGGGGTCCTTCTTAATATGTTTACGATAATTCGTTTGAGAACCACCTCATTCTGTAATGCGAGCATGAAACCGTTAGTCTGAGAACCTGCAAAAAAATAGAAACTGAGAATGAAAAAAAAACAGCCCTGCTCGAACATACACTCCAAAAACATTATAACATATCAAGTTATAATAAAAACATTGATTTGTACCTTTTGTTTTTCTTAATAAATATTATGAAAATGGGTTTGATTGTAGTGAGCTTTGAGTCACGTATAAATATGTTCGCTTCCTTCCATGTGATGGAGTTTAGGTCGCAAACTTTCAGCCAAATATCGTTTCTTTCAAACAGCTGCAATCCCGCAACACTCTTGTTATCGGATGTGACCTGAGCCGATGAACATTGGCTCGAAATTCTTCCATACGTCGAAAGTACTCATTTTCTACTATTTGAGTGAATGAGCCATGGCTTTAAACCTCCCTTCGCCGAGGTCTGCGATTTTTAAGCTGCGGCACGAGCCGCGGCCTCGAAAATTCGACAAAGCCGCTTCTTATTAAGCGAAACTGGAATTGCGAGTCATGGCTCGAAGAAACCGGGCCTCACACCTCGTCTTAGAAATGCACACTTTGGGTCTCACAGTACCCGATGAGGGCAGAACCTCATCGGGTCTCCATGATGGTTTCTCACAGTCTCCCTCATAAAATGAAAATATTAGGATTGAGGTGATGGGGTGATGATGAGGGGTGAAAGGACTAGGATGATGGTGGTGAGTGGTAGGTGGGGATATGTTCGTGGGATTTTTGAAACCATTCCAGCATTCACCTTCGCGCTACGCACTGAGCTAATTCGTTCAGAATTATAATAATGATTAATAAAATTATTATTATTATTATTATTATTATTACTATTATCATTATAATTTTCTAAATTCACAACTAAAGGTGTTAAGCTTTAAATAAATCTTAAAATATTAATTAATGGGAATCTTGAAAGTAGGCCAAAAAATCAATTCTTGAAATGCCAGAGTGCCAATTCTTGAAGTTTTCCTTTGGGCTATAACGTCGGATTTTCGGTTAATGTAGCTACCAATTTTCATTTTACGTAATAATATTATCACAATTTTGTTTTGTGGACGGAATAACTTACCACTAATTGTAACACATTTCTTGTCCATTTCAATATCGCGGTTGATGATTGGCCAGTAGAGAGAAATGATCAGAAAAATAAGAATAAGGTGGATAGAAATAGCGAACATTTTTTAATACTCTTAAAGAGGCACACTAAATGTATTGTTAAACGCTATTGGTATGAATTTCGTGAGTGAAATAGTACAATAAACTTACTTTGTTGCAGGAATAATCTGGATTTCAACCGCAGTCAGGAAACCCAACGAACCATATGACCATGGAATTGAGTAAAATAATTCCGAATTATTATCCTGTTAATGAATAAACATTTCAAACTGAATTATGAGATAATTCTAATAAATTTCTTAAACAAATTAATTTTTAAAAGATTACGTACTTTTGAACATGTAACGACACTGCCATCTGCCAGTACTAATTCATAAGATTTGCAGATATGTTGAAACAATCCATACTTATGTGATGAAGATTCAATTCCTGTTCCCATTACCATTCCACCTATTCATAATTGAAAACAATATATTAATAAAAAAAGGTAAATAATGTGAAATGCTTTAGTTTTCTCTATTTCCCTAAAACAAGTGAATTTATAGGTTGAGAATTTACAGATAAAGTGGATAAAAGGCAATAAATATTTAAACCAGTGGTGTTACAACGGCGCAAAATTTCTGTTGTTATTTGCAACGGGTATATCGGCAAACAATCCTGGTTCAGCACCGAAAATGGCTCTCGTCTGTCAATTTTTTGTAGCAACACGTTGTCGTTTTTGCATTTTGCCCGTTTGTATAGTAGTACATAGTATTAACTGGGACATCGTGGAGGGGAGAAGCAGAAGAAAGATAGAAAAATGAAGATAAGAGGAAGGAGAAAGGTATTAAGAACAGAAATATGAAAAAGAAAATGGAAGAGGAGAAATAACAGAAGATGGGAGAGAACAATAAAAGTCGAGGAAAAGAAAAAAGAAGAGGAGAGGAAGACGAAAGAAAAGGAAAAGTAGAACGCTAAGGAAAATGAGAATAAGGTTAAGAAGTAAGAGGAGAATGAAAAGAAAGAAGATCAGTAGGCGAAGAAGAATGAGTAGAAGAAAAACAGGGGAAGAAAAAAAAGAAGGCGAAAAAGCAGAAAAGGGGGTGGGGACGAGGAGAAAAGTGAGTAGGAAGAGAAACGGAGGAAGAAGAGAAACGAAAAGGAAAATAACTAGATAAAATAAGGAGGTAAAGAAGGAAAATAGGAGGGGAAGGACAAGAAAAGTAGATTATGAAACAGGAGCCGAAGAAAAAGAAAAAATGAAAAAGGCGTAAGAGTAAAGGACAATGAAATAATGAAAAAAGAAAGAAAAGCAGAGAAAATAGGTGGTAGTTGAGAAGAAAATGAGGAGTAGGATATGAGGTTGCAGAAAAAGGGAGAGGAAAAATGAAGGAGGAGATGAAAAGGAAGAAGGAAAAAATGTTAGGAGAGGAAGAGAAAATAAGAAAGAGAAAAGAAGATAGACAAGAGAAAAGAAGATTATGAAAGAACTTTTGAAGTAGCGCGGTGGTATTTGCAGTTTTTATAAGCGTACTTTGCTGTATTAAAAAACAAGAAAAAATTGAGATGGTTTTAAGAAAATATTTTTTTAATTGCCATTTCATTAAGCAAATCGTACTTGAAAATTACTCATAATTTTTTTAAACATATTACATGACCATATTTATTGCCTCTCAATAAATTAGTTATAGGAAAAAATAAAAAAAATGGAACACTTGCAAATTTAAAAAATTCAAAGAATTCAACGAAAATTAAACCTGCAGAAAAAGGTCGTTTGCCATATCATAGAAGAAATCAATCATTTGAAGCCATTTTTTAGAATATTTTGAAAACGTTGAACTTCATAACTCCTCAAAAAACAGAATAACATTTGCAAATTCTCAGGGCTCCGCGTTCGGCCAGATCAATTGGGAAATATCAATTTTGGGGAAAATCATTTGAATAGTTTAGGCTCTAATGTTGATCACAAACGGACGGACAGACCAACAGATGTTTTGCCGTGAACCAATTTTTCTATAAATGACCCAGAGACTATGAATTCTGAGCTATTTTTTTACCATCGTTTTTTACTTAACAAGTAAAAATTTAAAGCGAAAACTTTTTCTAATGCAAATATCTCTATATATTGTTTAAAAGAATTAAAAATTGCCTATACTTCGCGCAAAACTACTCGAAAACTACCGATATTCGAAAAATTGAACATGAACGTCTTTGAATTTGTCTTTATAGATCATATTTCATTAAGAAAAAATATCTTCAATATTATAGTTGTAGGATGAAGCCCCAAAAAAATTTCACTTGTGCATTTTTTCAAAAAATCTGAGTGTGAAAACAAACATGACACCTGCATCTTTCTCTTAAGCGATCCGAGGTCATGCAAAATATTTGGTGCCAATGTTGAGAAAATTTTGAAAATGTTGAGGCTTCATATTGTTACGAATATTACGTCATCTGCCGAATTCGCTACGCGTGGATTCCGTCATATGCCGGCGCCCCTTCCCTCCCCCCCGAACTAGACGGTTCCGGACTATCCGCGAGCCGCGGGGAAACGCCGAGAATGTGCCGGGTGCCTGGAGACAAGCGCCGGGCAGGTATAAATGCGCCGCTACCGGCGGCCGCGAGTCAGTTAGTAGAAGAAGTGAGTAGAAGTCCGTGGGTAGTAAGACGTCAGTGAGTAGCAGAGAAGCAGTCAGTCCGTCAATGTGTCCGAAGTGGAAGCTGTGCTGTGAAATGTGCATTGCGGTGAAGAGTGGTGCAGTGATTGAACAGCAGTCAGCAGTCTGAAGTCTGCAGTGGAAGCTGAGCTGTGAAGGGTGCATCGCGGTAAGCAGTGGTGCAGTGGGGAAACAGCAGTCAGCAGTTTGAAGTCTGCAGTAGAAGCTGAGCTGTGAAGTGGGCATCGCGGTAAACAGCAGTGCAGTGGACCCTGGTGTGCGCAGTGAAGTGTGGTCTGCGCAAAGAATTGTGGTCTGCGCAGGGGAATTGTGGTCTGTGCAGGGAATTTGGGTCAAGTGCAGTGGACCGTGTTCAGTGCATCGGACTGGCTGATACTGTAGAAGAAGAGAACAGTGTAAATAAATAGCGTGTAAGAAGTGAACTGTGTAAATAAATCATCAAGAGAACGGAGTCGTGTGTAAAGAAAAATAATTAAGTGTAATATATCTGTAAATAGACCAAGTAGATTTTAGTGTATAATTGTTCACGAATAAACCTTCTTTGTTTAAATAATATTGTGTTGCTTTTAATTCACCACGGAGAAACGTTACAATATAAATACCCCCAAAACCCAAAATAGCCGTTTGAAGCAGTGCCTGATCGGTTTTCAGAATCAAGAACCCATAAACATGGATTCTGACAAAACCACGTGTTTGAGGAAGTAATTTGCTGTACATAGTAACACGAGATATCCACTTTTTCATTACAGGGCTTGTCAATAAGAGTTTTTCTGTTGATAATTCACCGTTTTCCGACGCACATAACTTTCTCTTCTAACGACGTTCTTTCGTAAGGGCAGAAAGTTAAAACTTGAAAATGCCGTGGAGATACATGTATAATACTTGCAAAAATTGAAATAACCGGTTAAAATTTTTCGTCCCTTGAGACTGCCATGTCAATCGGGAATCTACTTTTTGCATTCGGTTTAGGCTCTTCTGTACTTATGTCAGGCGGCGGCAGCAGAGCTAGCAGACGAACACATTTTGGAAAAAAGGTTTTTGGTATCACGGACACCCAAAACGTGTATTTCTGCCGAAATCTCAATATATAATTTGTATCCAGCATTACACAATTTGTGTCTGTAAAATATTAGTATTGCAACGGTAATTAAACCAACATGTAATTTGAAAAGTTCTTTAAATTTTGTGTTCTACAAGGAAAACAGGTAATTATTGTACCATTTTAACAGTCAAATAATGAAGCAAAAATTAAATTTTACTTCACATTACATACTACGGTGACGTCGCGACCCCACAACTCTAGCAGACATGCTTCACAGCCTGCTCCATGAGAAGAGAGGTATGCAAGGTATTGCCACTGGAGGGGGAAGGTATGGGCACCCAATTCCCCCAAAGGACTGATAGCACGCCCTTTCCTCTCTCTATCCGACGAAGGTGATTTGTAAACATGCACTCCCGAGACAGGGAACTGGCAGTGACTTCCCGGGCTAGTGTGCGCGCCACCGCGCATTCCCTTGCGCTAGCGCCAATGCTGAGAGCGGTAAAGTGAGGCCGCCTTACATTTCGTACGGCTACATTGAAAACCTGGCGGTGCTGCATCAGAATTTACTTTCTGACACTATTTATAAATTTGCATTTTTCGAAAATTCAGAGTGTTCAACGAAAATGAGACCTGCGCCATTCTTTTAAGCGTTCCTTGTTTTATCCGTGAATATATACATATATAATGTGGAGCGGTTTTTGCGAAAATGTGTTTTTTAATATATTAAATGAATCTAAAACACAAATTAGACAAAAAGGATTCTTTCTTTCAAAAAATTGCACATGGCTTTTTTGAAGAGATACGTTTTTTAGAACAGATTTTGTTTAATGTAAACATCTCCATCTTCAATTTTGTAGTGTTGAAATGTTAAATTTTTGCAATTTAAAAAAAACAGTGCTCGCCAGAAATGAAATTAACACAACGTTTTTATATTTCTTTGATACAGGCGAGGAGAAAATTTAATGAACAAATTGGAACAGTTTTACGGAAAATTACTGTTCAAACAATTTTTAAAAATGCCTATATTTCATGGAATATTACGCGAAAACTTTATATATTTTCGAAAAACTGTAAATGACCTTTTTTCAAGATATATCGTTAAAGAACAGATTTCATTCAGGACAAAAAATATCGATATCCACAAAAATGGAATGAACACCATTCTCTTAAGCGTCGTTTTCGCTAACCGAGGGCAACGTTTAATAAAAATAATGCCACTTCTTTGAGAAAAAAAATGTTGAGGCTTCTTGTAATGTACCCTCAAAAATTAAAATAGAAAGAACTGGAGAACATTGATGGGTGGTTCTCCTTGATTACACCCCCTCATCTGCTCACAAGATCATTACAGGAAGTGTCACAACATCTCCAAAAGAGTGCTCTAGTATTTACTATTACCAACAGAACTTATTGACGTGATTCAGTAGTTTGATGAAATTAGACGGGTGATTTACTGTTTTGTTGATCAAAAGTCAATTTTAGTTTTATTATACTTCTGATCCAGTATTTTCAACAGGAAAGAATACCCTTCCTGGTACGTAAAATTACTCTTTGCCAGTTTCTTGTTCTTTTTTGTTAGATAAATTATGATGGGTTGAATGAGATATTCATGTTACTCAAATGGCTACTTGGGGGCAAATTGATGTGTATCAATGTATCCCTAAAGGATATACATTGTTTTGATCTATCATGGGGGAAATTGATGCGTATTAATGTGCCTCTTGATAGCTCCAAACATCCTCTATTCTTTTTTAGAACATTTTTCCTTACTCATTATTATTATTTTTCCATACTCTCCTTAATCCAAACATGTCCCACCAGAATTCCCAATATTAGTTTTTGTGGAAGCTCCATTATTGTATACTAGAAAATGTATTAGTATTTTTTGATTAATTAACTTTCTGCTTCACTGATTTTTGAATGATTGATTTAAAAGATAAGCACATGTGCAAATGGGCATTCAGCAGTGAAATAATTACATTATTCAGAAGAATCTGCAACATCCTTAGGACAGTTGTGTGAATCTACAACAGATAATTTGAATTGTAGTGATCTGCTAAGTGAAGAAGAGAATGGCAGTTATTTTTCCTCACTTTTCCCAAACGTGTCAAAGCACCTCATGATGTAACAAAGTGTCGCATCAGGTGCATCAATCTACCACGAGCGTGGGGCACACTGATACAAAGGACTTTAATTTTTTCAATTACATGCTGAAATGCTACAAAAACATTATTGTGCCTACGAAGCAGACAATACTATTTTTGCTGGTATCAGTAGGAAAATAACTAGAAATGTCTTTTGGGCCCCAAAAAATGTTTAGAAAATATATCAATGTGTTCCAGTTCCCCTTATCCCTTTCAAACTCATAGGGTCTGGAGTTTTCTAGGGTCAATTTTTATTAATTTTTCTTAAGTTCTCAATCTTTCTCATAGGGTCAATTTTTCTTAAAATGTGGGTCAAGAAGATTGAAAGAAAGGAAATTGACATCAATGTGTGCCGTTTCGTGAAGATAATTTTTCAAGAAATGACTGAAATAAGTTTCTCATTATTTCCCAAATAACCTGCGGGTATGAAGAAGTATTATTTTACATATCTCTAAAATTATATGCGGTGAATGGTTAGAGATTGAATTGTATTTAGAAAACGTTCCTTTTTTTATAAAAGAAATTTACCAACGGTGAGATCATCTATTTCAGGTAGCACTGGAATAGTCCATCCCAATGGTGTCAATGTTGCTGAGAGCTGTCCCATGTTAACCAATGGTTCTACCAGCACAGTCTGAAAAAAAGGAAGTTTTTTGAAAAAAAAATTATGATTTCAGCGCTCTAGAATAAAAAAAATAATAACAATGGCTACAAGTAATTTAATGTTAATAGCGAATATTAAATATCAATGAAAATATCTATATCCCCTAGCAGAGGAGGTTACAGTAGTTCTCGCCTTTGATTAAGATGAAGTGTTCTTGTAACAATGTAAACCATGATGCAGAATATTTTATTAAGATGTAACACGCTAACAATGAGTAATGGGCACTAAAGTGATTGTAAATGTAGGGAAATGGCAATTTTAATAATCAGAATGGTAAATTATTTATTACTAAGATTATTATTGATTAGGTATCACGGGCCTCCACAACAAGTTTTTGAAGGAATCTCACATCATAGAAGATATTAGAACTTGCGTTATCGAAATATCAGTATTTTATCGGCTTCAATATATTTTTACAAAATTCGTAAACATTACGTAAATATACAACTTGTAAGTATAATTATTGCTTTGATTTACCACTTTATTCATCAGTGCAGAAAAAATATGTCATTGATTCTGGTTAGGGATGGAAATCACATCAACCTTATTTTTAAACCTATTTTTGCTCTAAAAAATCGAGCTAAATATGCAAAGAAAAATTCAGTACCACCAGAACTAAAACGTCCGTTTCAACTTCCCAGGTACTGGCGATCAATCAGATCGAATGAGGAATATCCATTTAGGAGAAAACGCTGTGTATGGTTTAGGGTGGCGCTAGTACTCGTTTATTTCACAGAGGAACGCACGGACTGACTGAGTGACGCCACAACGTCACATAATTTCTTGAATTATTTGTATGTTTTGCAATTTTCAGATATTACGATAGAGTTCAATGAAACCGGGGCCTGAGCCATTGTTCGGGGTCTATTGACACATCCGAAGTAAAATTTAAAGGAAAAACTTGGAGCCATTCCTGAGAATGTTTTCTAATTCAAGCAAAAAAAATGCGAAAACTACTCGTATTTTTTAAAAAAATGTATGATCGAAATTATGTTTTACTTTTAATGGCTTACGTGTATTTCCATGTAATATTTTAAATTTTGTATTTTACTATTAGAAGTAGTAGTAATATAGTAAACGGCACATTTTATGTACAGATGCACAGAGTTCAGTAAAATCTTTTCCCTGATTTTTGTAGTTTCTCTTCCCAGCGTATCTAATCATGTTCCTTCTTACTTTATATTTGTAGAAAGAACATTTAGAAATGAAAACTCATTCACTCTCGGCCAGGTGTTGGCGCTTACTCTACAATACCAGGTGTTCTTCGTTCAAGTGTCGGTCACGGTCCACGATGGAGATAAATAGTTAAGATAAGTTCTGAAAATGCTAAACGCATGTTTTTCTCTTATGAGCTTTCAGCGTGAAGAAAATTATTGTGTGTTTTACGATGTAACTTGAATTTTTGAAAAGATTGTGCATAAATTTTTATGTACAGAGCGAATGATGATTGAAGCTCATCATACTCATTTCCTATTCTTATTGAGTGAGTCAATTTCATTTCTTTCCACGTGAACTTAAGATATTTTAATGAAAACCTAGGTGCTACAACAGCACAAATTTTCTGGCATTATTTCTAATGGTTGCAATTTTCGAAAATTCAGATAGTTCAAAGAAAACGATATCTGCACCATTATCTTAAGCGCCCATTTGTCTATGCGCGGTAAATAAAAACAAACAAAAGTGATGTCGTTTTTGAGAACTTTTTATAATAATTGTATTAACATCAGTCAGATATTGAGCAGTAACTACTATTATTATTATTATCAAAAAAGTACATGATTTTTTAAGACATAATTTTTATTTTCTAGAGTTACTACGTTAGAAGAGAAGATATTGTAACTGTGCGAAGGAAATCAACTATTTTTCGAAAGAAAAACTGAATTTCGGGCTGAAATGGATAAATCTTACATGTATTAAATTAATTCCCTTATCACTTGCCCTCCCATCTCTCTGTCCTCCCGTCTGTCACTCTGTCCGTCCTCCCGTCTGTCTGTTCACCCTGCTGCTTTCTGTCCGCCCGTGTACGTAAGCAGCTTTTGCTTAATTTTGCAGTTTTTAATGTTATTTTCTCAAAAACGACTCCTTTTTTTATTTTGGAGCTCGATACATTTTCGGCCAACACACTGTATTTTCGAACATTTCAAAAAAATTACATTGCAAAAGTTCTGTATTGAAGTTAGATTTTTAACTTAAACAAATTCTCTTTTAAAAGATTCGATCATTAAAAAGGTCATGTACAAATATTTTACGTGCAATTTCTGCTTGAAATTGATGCAATTTCTAAAAACCCCTCTTTCTCTAAAACGGCTCAATTTTTTTGCATTACTTTTTTCTCGAATAGAGTAAAGGACGCTTAAAAAATGATGCACGTCACACTTTCATGGCCTTTTTGGATTTTCTAAAATTGTAAAAGTTTGAAATAATACTAAACTGTACATGCTGTTGAAGCAGCGCTAGTCTAATATTGCTATCAGTTTTTAACATAATGAGTATGACAAATTTTCGCCTTACAATGTACGTTGAACATTTTTGAAATATTAGATGTTCTTGGAGAATGGAACTGCTTTTAGTTTCGCGTTATAATGTACTAGTGAGTAACTGTGAGTGGAGATATCGATTTCTGTCGCGTAAAATACTTTTGTATTTCCCGTTCTTGCAGTGAGTGTTATATGCGAGTGGTGTTCCTCGCTGGTTGGAAAGTGAGTTTTGGCGCTGAACTCCACGTTGCCTGGGGTGGTTTCTAGCTCCCCCTCCCCCCAGTGAGCCACCGCTTCAGCGGAGACAAGCTTTACGTTCCCCAAATACGGCAATGCAGTGCACGTGCAATGAATGAGGAGGGGCCCAAGATGACGAAGAAAAGATCCCGAGCGGTCGGTGGCCAGTTTTTTAGGGTTCAGCTCAGTCATTCGTCTCTTACTGAGTGGATAAACCACGAATAAAGTCCAATTTGAGCAGCCGACCGATATAATTGTCGTTTTTTATTCTAGGCAGCTATGTAAATTGTATCGAAATCTAGCAACTCGAACCCTAGGACTTTCCGGTCAAAGACGCCGCACAGGCAATGGCATTGCCGCTGAGCTACTTCTGCCGGTGTGTACAAATGAGTTAAATTGATTATTTTGTTTATTTTCGGGTGCGTCAACTATAAACAACGGTTTTTTCTTATCCAGGTATCTCCCACTAGCGAGGCACCGCCCCAACCGGGGCAAGCACTAAGCTCCCGACTGGTCTCCCGAAATGTAGTGAATGTAGGTGTAAGTGTTCGTGTAGAGGTTAAAGATAGTACAGCGATGGAAAAGGAAATATCACGCGCGGACTGTTTGTTAGGGTATTACTCCGGCATTCACTGGCGTTGATCGAAGAAACCACGGAAAACTACCGATCAGAGCAGCCTGCTGCTATAATTTTCCTTCACACTGCGACTGAACTCGATCTGGCTATTTAGCTAGCGTCGACAATCCTACCACTGTCGGGTCTCAAACCCTAGAACCTCAGAGGCACTGCTGTGACATCAGTAGTTGCCCTGAGCCACCTAAGCAGGTAAATGAGTTGGAAAACTGGTGTACCTTGCCAAAAGAAATTCGCACTTTAATCATGTTTAAAAATTAAAATGATTACTTACCCTCTTTTCCTCATCGACATTAATGATGTCCACAAGATTGACATTAACATTGAACATGGTCTTCTTGTACTTTGGTTGACGGAATGACATAGTTTGCCAGCCCGGTCGTGCTGTGCACATCTTTGTACGTCTTCCAGAATCTTGCCATTGTTTCACCTAGAACAGAACAGAAACGAAAGCCAATACCTACGTTAAAATTCATAGAGGGCACTATTCATCTTTCCTCGGAAAAGTAATAAAATGAATGTAGCTGGGGTTCTTTTGTGACAATTGCTTTGTCATGCTGGCATTGACATTTGTGCAGCAGGAAAATAATGAGCGATAATGTTTATGAGGTTTGTACAAGCCCCACTAGAAGAAGAGATTTGGTATACGATCTCAATTATGTTTTATTCAAATTATTATCTCGAATTAGTTTTTTCTGGTTTCGATTGTAATCGGATTATTGACAGAAGTATTTATTAATTACCATCCGATTTAAGATAATTTAACAAATTATCAAGAGACTCATTTACGTATCGTGGAGAAAGAATCTCCTTCAATATCAAATCAAATGAATCGATTCTATTGAGAGACAGACGGAGAGAGAGACAGTCGGAGAGAGAGACATACGGAGAGAGAGAGACAGACGGAGAGAGAGAGACAGACAGACGGAGAGAGAGAGAGACAGACAGACGGAGAGAGAGACAGACAGATGGAGAGAGAGAGAGACAGACAGACAGACGGAGAGAGACAGAGAAAGAGAGATAGAAGGAGAAAGAGAGGGATGAAGGGCACAACACCGTATGCCGGGTTCTGCTAGAAAATATAGTATGTTTGAAAATGTGGATCGAAAGTGTATTTTGGTAAAATGTGTGATTCATATAAATCTTATTAAGTAATTTCCTTTTCCTGTCCGAAACTTGAAGAAAGTCAAAAGAAAACGATACCACAGAAACAGGAAATTAAACAGAAAAAATAATTATATATTGAAAAAGTCACCAGTAATTAACACATGTGGTGTGTATCAAGGACCTACAAAACATTCATGTACAGATATGGTGAGTAAACTAAAGGTATAAGAAGTAATACTACATATGAAAAAGGTGATACTATATTTTAAAAAATCGCGATTTTTTGCCGAAACATTATCATCAGGGCTCGGTTTCAGATGACATGTCATCTTTTGATTGGTGCACTGTAGACGTAGCTCACTTTGAAATGAGTGTTTATCACGACATGTATGTGATAGAAATGTTCAGTTATTGGCTGATTGTATGCCATTTTTAATTTTTGCACCATTTGTTGGGGCTTTTGCCGTCATTTTTGCCATTTTTATGCATTTTTTTCCTTCTCGTGTCTTTTGTTAGTGAATGTTTCACGAATTTACAATGACACATTAAAACAATTTTTTTTAATTCATCATCAGTTCGTGACGAAATTCACTATTGAAGTGACTCTGTTTATCAAACTCTCAAAATTACACGTGTCTTTGGTAACTTCTTTGATCTTTCAAAACTGACAGTTGGAAGATCAAAGCTAAGGATTACATTTCATTCTAAAATAAAGACTTTATATTAAATATTATTTCATAAAGTAAATTTTAATTAAACATTAAAATTCGTTCAATTAATAAACATTTTTGAACACATTATTTCGTATTTCTTGAAAAATATGGTCATTTCCCCTTATTTTAAGTGTTTTTCCTCTTATTTTTAAGAAATTATATGGGTCGTTTACTAAGAATCTAAAGCTAGATCATTGTGAAACTACAATAAATTCATTGTTTAATTCATTGTAAAACTACAATACCAAAGATAGGTATTTTTAAATAACATATGTCCTTTAGAACTAGATTTTGAAATATTGTTAATTCACATCTCTAAATTCTAAAAAAAAATGCTAAAATTTAAAATATTCAAAATATTTTAAACAACAGAAAGGTTGAATTTAGCTGTGAGACTAGTGTAGGGGTAATTTGATTGGCATGTTAATCCTAATGGACTGCGGTGAAAATCCCATCCGGGAGAATAACTTTTGCTGGTTGGAAACACTTGTACATTCACGTAGGAGTTGAATTATAATATTTTGTCGCTGTTACAAATAAGGCGAGAAAGTATGTGGTATTTAAGCACCGCTAGTTTTCTTAATAATCTCTGCTCTTCAAAATTATGTCTTTAAGTAGGGTCGTGTCAACTTTTTTGAAAATATCTAGTTTCCGCATAATTTTGCGTGAAATGTAGGAGAGATTTAAACAATTATTTTTTCAAAAACTTCTCGAAACTTTTCTCAAATTTTCTTCTCGTGTGAATCAAAGGACGGCAAACAATTGGTACTGTTCTCATTTTCGGTTAACTCACTGTATTTTCGGAAATTGCAAAAAATATTATCGGAAAAGTACAATATTTATAACAGATGTTTTAATGAGATTTATTGAAAAGAAATAGATATTTAAGTTTTGAAGTTTCGAATGTGAATTGTATTAGCTGCAAAAAAAATCAGTTGTCGCACCTCTTGCGCTACGACTGGTAATGACTTTTACGAGTGGTACTGGTAACTGAGGTGTTTTTATAAGAACAAAAAAGTGTGGTATTGTAATATTTCCCAACAGTTATTAATGTAAGAGAGTACGTGCTGGTGCAGCACGTAGTTTACTTTCTCCCTTTACTATGTACTTATGTAGTAAACAGAATATTGTATATGCCGGGGCAAAAATCGACAATTTTTTGACAGAGAAAACATGTACTGTGTAACCTTGATACTGTAAAACCCTGATATCTAAAGCTAGATAAATCTAGTTCCTATATTTAGTAAGTAAATTAATTCTATAGCATATGGCGTTATGTAGTCAAAATCCAGGTCGTGTGGGTCCTTGATATCGAAAAATCGATTGACGACAAAACGTTTGTCTATCCATCCATCCGTCAATCTGTGTCTGTGATCTACGCTAGCGCCTAAACCTTCAGACGTCTTATCCATAATGACAATATTTAAGATGGAGGTTTTCTTTCTTAAAATGTGTGCTACAAATACAAATACCCTATATAAGATCATGGACAGATTTTCGAAAATGTTAGACTTACGCGAATTTTGGGGTGAAACATAGACAATTTTGAAACATTATTTCTCTAAAACGGCTCTAATTTCTTCCGGATAGCATTCGACGGAAAAAATGCTGCCGTTCCCTTTTTTGGCGCACTGCTTTTTTGAGAATTGCCAAAACGTAACATTACAAAAGTTTAATACTAATGACAGAGGTTTTTTCCCTTAATGATTTTCGTGTTAAGAAATATATTTATAGGTAAGATTATGTACAATGTCATGAAAATACGAGAGTTTTTCGTATAATTTGTTTTCTTGAACTTAATGTAACTTATAAAATATTTCTCAAATACTGTTCAATTTTTTCTTTAAATTTTTTCCCTCGAGTAGAGGAAAACATCGCTTAAAAACCACATCTCATTTTTGTTTAACTCTACAAATTTTCAAAAACTAAAAAAAAGTGGAAAAAATGTGAGGAAGAATGTGGTATTGTAGAACCAGTGTTATGACTAGTTTTTCATTGATTCATTGGCCAATTCTGAAACGGTCCCTACTTTTGTTTTTAGATGCTAAATGCAGCTCTCCTCTCTGCGCCCTATATTGTGTTCTGTCGTAGCTTTCTATTTTTGACGACCAATAATTTTTTTAAAAAATATTCCAAATCATGTTACCCCTTTAAATTATGTAGTTTCAGTTGTACAACGGTTGTTGATTTCCTACTGACTCACCTGTCTCTGAACGTTGCGCACCTTCTTATCGTGCTGCCGCGGCGCGCTGTTCAGCTGGAACACTATCCAGTTTCGTGTGTACAGCCACACTTCATAGAAGAGCGAAATCGGGAGGAGGAAGAAGCACACGAAGACCCAGCGATAGTGCACCAGCACGTGCTCGAGAGCGCTGTCAAAGGATGCCATCGCCGCAGCACCTGCGAGCCCTCTGGCACGCCACTGACCGCCCGCCTCTCGCGCGAACGGGCTCCTGCGCGCTTATCGCGCACGTCGCGTGATAACCCTTTCCCCCTCTCCGGAGGCAGCGTAAGAGGGGGCCAGAGGGCCCCCGCCCCGCACCCAGGGTTTGTTAATCCTTAAGAACACGTTGCACATGCTTAGATCTCCCGATAGATTCGGAACAATAAATTGTTAAGTAAAATTTCTTATTCGTTTATAATTATTTCAATCATTAAAATATTTTTCAAAATTTAAAGTGGTACAGTTAATTATTTTATTTTTAATGTATATGATTAGTATTTCCAAGTGCTTAGAGGGTCACTCGATTTGTTTATGCTTAGGATCGCGTAAGATATTAATCCGACCTTGCCCCTCGCCCGACCTCTCCATGTGGATACTTCCAAGTGAAGGAACCCTATCCACTGAGGGGACCTGATTATGTAGGGGTACACACCTGCCAAAAGTTCTCTTGTACCAAATGGGTCCTATCTACCATTGAACCACACCTGCAGAGGGAGCTCCGTTTCCCGAAGGGACCCTCTCGATCGAATTCTCCCCGCCCTTAATGACTCTTCCCGGCATACTACTCACCCGCTCCGCTTCATTTGCATTGAAGGCCACGAGTGGGAGAGTATTTAGTGTTTCCAGGTGCGTCAACAACTTTGGTTATTAGTTCTGTAAATGTAGTGCATGTTATAACCTGTAGTTCGTGTTCCTTCCCTGTTAGAAGCTGAGTTCCGACATTGTTCTACACAAAGGCTTGCGGCGTTTCCCCTTCGGGTTTCTCTCCCAGCAAGGAACCCTCCCACCCGCGAGAAGTTCTAAGCTCCCAGCTGCTCTCCGAACATGTGTGGTACTATTGTGCACGTACGTGTGTGTGTGCTAGGGGACTAGGGATAAGGAAGGGAAAATTGAACGCCCTCCGTAGCCTGCTTGTCAGTGCATTCGCCTGATATTGATAGAAAAATCTCGGATAGTGCCACCGATCAGAGCAGTCGGGAGCTGGAATTTTCCTCTTGACAGCTGAATTTGAAATAACTAAAAAGCTAGAGCTTCGGCGTCGAAACCCGAGAACTAGGAACTGCAAGTTAGAAACGATACAGTGGCAGTGGGTCTGCAGCAGCAACGAAACAGGGAACTTCCGGTGCTAACTTCACATGCATGGAGATTTGCTAGGCAATTAGTGATTGCATGGAAGCAGTTCAGCAGAATTACTGAAAAACAAACTCCAATGTCTCCCACGCAATATAGCGAGGAACTGCTTGCATTCGAAGTTTTCATGAAATTGTTTCATCAAGGAAAGAAGAGTATTCCTGTGCTTGAAGTGATTATAAGCCACGCTGGATTTATATATTCGCCTAATAGCCTTAAGTACAGGTCGCAGGTTTGAGGATGAGAAATTTATTTTCATTTACGTCTATTAAATTTCAGTTTTAGTTTTATATATTGGTACTGTTATATATAATGTGGGCTTTTTTGTCATGTAGTCATCTTGTTCTCTTGTTACTGTAAGCATTATCTAATTTATTGCATTCTTAGTCACTCAAATATTTTTGTTGTTCGGTATCAATTATGTAATTGACGTAGTATCTACAACCCTCACACACACACACACACAAACCAAAATCTAATATTAATTATTTCTCAACTCCTCATTCCCCTTCATTTTTTAAATTACTTTTTTCTCTTATTTTTTATCTCTTATTCTCCGACTAGCTATATTCGAAAACAAAGCTCTCGGGAACAAAGCTACGGTAATCCCATGACTTATGATCGCAGGGGTAAATGTAATCCACAAAATGTTCGCCTTGAATATTTGTTTGATATGGGATGTCGCTCAAGAATGTAAAGTGACCCTATATGTCGGCGATTTAATTTAGTTGAATGTGTATTTAATGTAAACCATTACGTCTATTTATCGTTCAGTATTTTGTTAACATAATTATTTTACGAAAAAGGGAACACATAGCTTGGTGTTCATTGGCTTTAGAAAAATTAATCCACATATTAGACAAAGTCGACAATATTGTACGTGTTCTCAAACTTTTTAAATAATATTTTAAATTTAAAAAAATAATTTTAATTTAAAAAATGTTTTAAAATAATATTTTAAATCAAATTTCCGTATGTTTCAGAGCACGACTATAAGGTTTGCACAGTTGTGTAAAATTGGGATGAAATAAGTCAATGAATTTTAGTAAAATGTTCATCAATGCTAATACTTTTTCACTATTATAAAGCCAATGTAATAACTGTCATCTGTAGAGCCCGGGAGTTTTGCAAATGCCTTTTTTTTATTGTTATGGTTTTATGACTTTTAACAATAGGAATCTCTCAATTGTACTTCTGGTGTTGTTTTAGTAGATTTTCATTTTGTCTTTTTTGCATATTTTAGCTTCTTATAGCTATTTTTTACATTTTGCCTTCTTTTCCCCCGCCTAGCATCGATATCTATCAAGCTGGAAGCACCTGTAAGCCTGGACAATGTAAAGGCACGCTTGTGTATTCTCTTTCCGTGGACACGGAGGCTCCAATGTCAGGTTATGTTAAAATCTAAAGGGGTAAGAAAGATGATTCTAATAAAGATTATTGTTATTTTTCGTTGATGCTGACAGATGTGTTCGCTCACGAGAAATCTCTTGAAGATTGAAGTACAATTTTAACTTCGGGCAAGATTAGATTTGTAACTATGAAGCCAGATAAGATCCTTTAATATCTCTTTGAGAATCTCAAACGACGCAATGGCCTTAATGAATAATTTTAGTGTTTGTGTTTCTGGTATAATAAATTATTCTTACGCAGCGTTTAAAAAATTGGGAAAGGAGGGTCCTAAACCTGTTGATTTCTTGAAATGCAAAATTACATTTAAAGTTAACTGCTTTCCTGGAAATAAAATATATTTTGTAGAAAGTGTAATTTTATTAAAATATATTTTCGAACGAAAAACTAGTCATCGTTGGAACCGTTTCTCACTGTTGACATTGTGACATCCAACAATAGGTAGACTTTTTTTTACCATTTTTATTACTCCAGAGTTAACGTGTTGACGAGCCATATTCGAATTCTTGGGGATAGGATTACTGCTGAATGTAATGCATGTGTTTAATACGAAGTATTTTTTGAATAAATTATATTACAAAACGTTATGGCTTTGCAGACACGACCCCTGAATCAGACACTGACAACTATTTTTAACTTCCTTACAAGTGACACCGAAATCTCATCATATCAGAATTTCTAAAAGCTCCACGTGCGTTTTAATTACATGGGTTTTCTCGAAAATATTTCGGTTCAATTTCTATGTTTATTGCAATATTCAGATACTTCATTTAATAGCGGTCAGGTACTTCATAACGAGCGCTTGAGACAAAATCAATACCAGTGATGTTTTCAACACTGCGTGAATGTGGTTACAACTATGTGCTTAATATAATATACAGAGCGTTAAAATTTCTTAAATAAAGTCGAAAAAACAAATTTCAATACGCAGTGCCACAGACGTGAGAGAGAGAAAAGGCGGGGAGAGGGGGAGAAAGGGGGAGAGGAGGAGAGAGGGGCGAGAGAGGGGGAGAGAGAGGGAGTGAGAGGGAGTGAGAGGGAGAAAGAGAGGGAGAGATTACTCAGTGCATAGCCCGCTGGATTCGCAGTCGGGAGGTCCGGGTTCAAGCACCGGGCCGGCATTGGGTTTTCGTGGTTTCCCTCGGTCACAAAGCGAATGCTGGGATGGTTTCAAAACTCCTACGAAGGTCCCCACATTTCACTACCCCACCTGACTCCTCCTACTATTATCCTAGTCCTTTTACTCCTTATTATCACCCAATAATAATAATATTAACAACAACAATAATAATAATAATAATAATAATAATAATAATAATAATATTGATTGAGTTACATTTACAATTACAATCGTATAAATCGGTCCTCCGGCGCAGAAGGTTGCGGCAGCCATTGTCTGCACCGAGGAGATTGCAGATTCGTGTTCTGCGTAGACATGGTTCTATTTGTGATTGGCCCTTCACCCCCTCATCATCATTCTATCGTCTTCGAATTCACACTTCAAAGCTTACATCTTGTCGTACTGAGGGATGCAGCTGAAAAGCTGATCCTGGGGAAATTACACACGTTAATAATAATAATAATAATAATAATAATAATAATTAAGTATAATATATTATATATATATATATTTGATATGTATATATAGATGTATAGTATAGCAGAGAGAGAGGAGAGAGAGAGAGAGGAGAGAGAGGAGAGAGAGACGAGAGAGAGAGAGAGAGACTGCGGAGTCGAATAGCAACTCCGGCAGCGAGTAAAGGGCTCAGGGACAGTACGTTGAGCGCGCCACCTGGTGAGCACGAATCTCCCTTACCTGTAATAGGGTTCAAGCCACGAGCTTTCCGAGTTGCCCGACGCCAAGACAATTTGTCGCTGTAAGCTGAGGAGTCACTGCGATAGATGAAGCTGAATATCCTAAGGGTAAAGAGCAGATGGAATATATAATAGCTGAAGGCAGTCAATTTATAACAAAAATTAATAAAAGATGTCCGATGATTGATGATGAGGACGATGATAATGTTAGACTTTTAACGACAGTTTATGCTTCGTAACAAAGGGCGTGGATGAGCTACTGTTATACCTCGCAAGAAGGCTCTTTGATGCAAAAATAGGGGGGCATATTAACAAAGATATTACTCTTTGTGAACAATGCCATCGTAATTTAAGAAGTTTTAAACTTATTAAAATAAGAAGGAGTTTTCAAATACCAACTTAAACAAGCATGGAGCAGTCTTTAAATTAAGCATTATCACGTTTTAAGATGGCAAATACGTGTAAGTATTTCGGTGCAGAGCATTGAAAGTACATAAAATGTGTTGTATTCTGTCTAGATATTTGCATGTAATGTGCAACATCTGTGAGAGAGTGAGCAGTCAAATCTATGCAGAAAATTATGCACAAATACACGAAGATGCATTGAGAACCAAATGAAGTTGTGAAGACGTACTGCTCTATTGAATCGAGAACTGGGA